TTATTTATCAATTCAATATAATCAATGTGAATTTTGATACTTCTTTATAAAATCAATTTCAATTATGAATATTTCTATACATTTAATATCTTCTTTCTTATTTTATTTGTATTATATCTATTATCTAATTTTGTATATTCTTTTATATTTCATTTCAAGATCCATTTCATAAAATATTATATTCACAACCATGATTAATATCAGAATGAATAACAACAATAAATGACAAACAATAATACAAGAAATAGAAGAAGATAATAAAGAAATCATTTGAAAAACAAAGAAACAGGAAGTAGAAGAAATGATAAGAAGAAATTGATAATAAAAAGAAGAACAAATGAAAATAATAATCAATTTAATGGATTAATAATTTAATTGTATTCAAAAATAAACAAATAATAAAAGTGAATTGAATAAATAAATTAGAACAAATAAGAGAAATAATAAAAAGATGATAGAATGATATTTATTCAATCATTATAATAAATATCTTTATAATGAAGAAATTAACAAGAATAGTAATATAAATTACAAATATTTTAATTAATAAATATCAATTCAATACAATCATTTAATAATAAATAATTCAATGAGAATATAAAAGATACAATCTGTATTAACATAACACATTCAATTCATCAAAAAATAATGAAATTTCACAAACTAATATTTTAACATTCCAAAGAATAGAAATAGTCCTAATAACCAAAAGTACGTATCAAAGAGAAGAGAAAAATAAATAAAATAATAACAGAAAGAATAAAGAAATACAAAAATCATAAAAATAAATAAAGAGAAATAAAATGAAGAAAGAAAGAAGAAATAACAAAGATAATAAACATGACAAAAGAACATATATACTAATGAAAAAGAAATAAACAAGATAGAAGAAATGTAATAAAAGAAGAAATAAAACATGATAATAAAAATGAAACAAAGAAAGGATATATAATATAAAAAGAAATAAAAACAACAATACACTAAATAAATTATTTAATTTTATTTCAGTGAAATTTGTTCAAGTTGTTTTAAAAAAGGATTTGAAAGAAGTAATTGATAATATTTATTTTGAAGAGAAATTAATTGATCAGAAGAAGTAGATTTATATTCATGAATAAAATTATTGATAATAGACTTTCCTTTAACAATATCATCAGGAGTGATTTGTGGAATTTCATCCTTTAAAAGAGGGATTTTATTAGTAAAGATTTCAATTTTCTTTTTAGAATCAGGTTGATCTAAATCAAGTTCTTTTGCTTTTCTTTTTGCTGATTCAACAACTTCATGAGGGAAATCAGCCCATTCAGCAACATAAATTGCTAAACTTTGTTCAGTACTTCCATTCTTAATTTTATATTTTAATACAAGTTGTTTATCAATAATATCAGCTTCAACATGTTTATTTATAACACCATTTACTCTTTTTTCTAATCCTGTAATTTCATGAAAATGGGTTGCAAAAACACAATAACATCCAATATCAATAGCTAAATATTCTGAAATTCCCCAAGCAATTCCAAATCCATCATATGTTGATGTTCCTCTACCTAATTCATCAATAAGAACTAATGAATTTTTTGTTGATTTTTTAATAATTTCTGATGTGTCTTTCATTTCTGACATAAATGTGCTCATTCCTTCAACAATATTATCACCTGCTCCTATTCTACACATTATTTTATCACAAATAGAAATATCTACTTCTGAACATGGAATAAACATTCCAATTTGTGCCATAATAACACATAATCCAATCATTCTTAAATATGTTGATTTTCCTCCCATATTTGGTCCTGTAATAATTTGAAATCTTGTTTCTTTTCTATTAATATCAATATCATTTTCAATAAATGTATTTATACTATTATTTTCAATTAATGGATGTCTTGCTTTTTTAATTTTAATAATTCCTTTTTCACTTTCATTCTTGATTTAGCATATCCTTGATTATTGTCATTAGAAACTGTAGCAAATGATTGAATACAATCAATATATCCAATAATATTTTCTAATTCTTTAAATGTTTCTTTATATCCTTCAATTACTTTATTAATTTCTTCTATAAATTTTTTATTAATTTCTTCTTCTTTTAAATTAAGTTTATCTCTTTTAACATTAAGTGTTTGCATTTCTTTAAATGTAAATTTACATTCTCCTTTAAGTGTTTGAATAACAGTATACTTTTTATTCTTTTTAACTTCTTTTTCATTACTTTTAGATACTCTTAATATTAAATTATTATTATATTCAATTATTTTAATTTTATCTGTTTTAATACTAAGATCATTTGCTGCTTGTTCTAAACATTTTTCAAAAAGTTCTTCTACTTTTTTATGATTTTCTCTTATTTTTTGAAGTCCTTCATCAAAGTCTTCTCTTATTTTAAATACATGATTTTTTGTTTCTTCAATGTCAATAAGTGTTACTACCATTTCTTCAAATTTTTCCATTTCTTCTGAAATTCTTTCTAATGCTTCTATTATTTCTTTTTCTCTTTGTTATTCATTTCTTTTAATTCTTCTTTGATACTTTTACTAATTCTTACTGCTTCATATAATTTGACAATACTTTCTAAATCACTTTTATTTATCCCTTTTATTAACTTCTCTAAATCTGCCATTATTGCTAATTCTTCATTTTTGATTTTTAATCCAATCTCTGAGTTCTCATAAAACCCTTCTACTAATTCTAGTCGTTTATTTATCTTATCCTTATCTATTAATGGTTGTCTAATCCATTCTTTTATCATCTTTTCTCCTATCTTTGTATGTGTTCTATTTAAATGTTTAAATAGTGTCATTTCTTTTTTATCTCCAAACAAGTGAAGTCCTTCAATAGCTTCTTCTTCAATTATCATTCCATTGTCTATTGCAACTTCCTCCATTCTTTATTATTTTTCTTTTTTTTTCTTTTTTTCTCTTTTATTTCAGATTTTTTCATTGTAAGGGATAACAATTTTTATTGATTCATTCTTGATAATATTCATAAGTATTGTAATGAAAACAAAACATGACATTACCATTCAAGGGAATATAGAATAATGAAGAAGTAGTAGTAAATGTATAACAAGAAAGGAATAGAAAAAGGGATTAAAAGAGAATAAGAAAAGAATATAAAATGGAGTGAACAGAAAGATAATATAGATAACACAAATAAGAAACAAAAAACATTAACAAAGAAAATAAAAAGAAAGAAGAAAAGTAGATAATTAAGTATTAATAGAAATATCTTCTATTGTTCCTTGCTCAGGGGAGACTAATCCCGTCCCTTCGCTTAAAAGTATTTGTTCTTCAACTATTAGCTTATTCTTTGCTTTTAGTTGTTGAACGGTGAGAATTTTCTTTTCTCATTTTTGATGTGGAATAGAGTATTTAAACATCCCTTATTTAAATATTCATTATTTAATTTCTTTTTAATTTGATGCGTTTAAATTTCTTCTTCTTTATTTTATTATTTTAAGGAGAATATATAATTACTACTGTATTGCTTTGGGCTAATATTCTTTTAGCCTCATCCACTTGACCCTTTTCTTTTGTTAATCTTTCTTATATTATCAAATAATACTTGTATCATAACAAGTAATAATAACATCTTTATAAATACCCATTCTTTTATTGTCAATGATATTCTGTCATTGTACATAATAAACACTGCTATTCTTGCAGTACCGGGTAAGATGTTTTTCTAACCAAACGCAACGCCATAACCAGTCCATAACTGGGGGAATCGAAGGATGGAAATATTTTAGGGTTCTGTGTGGTGTCTCTGACGTGCTACCTTCGAAATCCGGAAATAAAAAGAAATATAAAGAAACAAAATAGGAGATAAAAGAAAAATATATTTAGAGAAAAGTATATTTCACATAAATAAAATGAATATAGAGAAAGTTAAAGAAGGAATCCGGTTAAAGACAAAAAAAGATATAAAGAAAAGAAAGAAGTAAACAAAAGGTATAAAAAATAAAGAACAATAAATAAGAAAGATACAAAAAGAATAAATAAAGAATGAATGATGTTTTACAATAAAATTAATAAATAAGAATTGAAAAAGAAATTAAAAATAAAAAAATAGAAAATAAAAATGAATAATAAAATAAAATATAATAAATATTAATTAATTATAATTATAGATAAATAACAATAATAATAAATAATAATAAATAATAATAATTTTAATATATAATCAAAATAATAAAAAATAAAAAGAAAAGAGAAAATATTTAATGAATAAAATAAAGAATGATAAAATAATAAATAAAATAATAAATAAAATAATAAATAAAATAATAAATAAAATAATAAATAAAATTGTTATAAAAATGTATTTAATTATTTATGATTCTTATTTTATTATTATAATTATTAAATTAAAATTGAAGAGTTAATAAACAAGATTACTCATTGTATAAAGAAGAAGTAAAAATATTTCAAATATTCAACAAACAATT